AAAGAGTCAGGCTGTTAGACCCCAGAGCCCATGTGCAGAACCACACACTGCACACCAAGCCACTTCCTGCAGCAGTTATAAAATAAGGCAGAAAGGGGCTAATATCTGTAAAAAGGAGAATTTACCATGTTTATGGGACTGCAGGGAGAAAGCAAGTATTACTTACACACAGCAGGTGGGGTAGGAGGTGGGGACAAGAATCAGAGAAGGCTGAACTGAGGGCAGTACACCAGCTGTCCTAGAAAAACAGACAGAATCTAGGCACAAAGAAGGAAGAACGTGCAATTCAAACAGAAAGACAACAGAGCAAAGATGCAGAGTAGATGAGGTACAGAACTAAAAGTCACCTCATAGGCAAAGCCCAAGGACCCAAGTTATAAAACTGTGTCTCAGGTGTTTTGATCCACACCGCTCACTACATGAGATGCTAAACTACGGATCATGCAGAGTCAATGACCTCACTTTTTAAGCACAGGAAACACTGTGCATGGAGGTCTCAGCCATGGAGGAGAGAATGCAATCAAAGTGGGCTGTACCACAATGGTCCTGGCCATTGTAAGGCATTTGGTTCCACTGACGAGAGTTCCCAGCTGGCACTGCTTTCCAGAGATGCTCCCACCATTCTGCTACCCTGAGCTCAGAGCCAGAGCACAAAACGTCCAAGACTGCTCTGCTCAGAAACCCAGCTCTGATGCTCCTTCAGCAAGAGGTGCACGAGAAGCAGGGTCACGAGACCCTAAGCTCTTCCGGAGTAAAACACTTGGAATTTCCCACCCACCCACAGCCAAGGACCTCCAGGAGTCCAGAGACAGACCTGCCACCCAAGGAAATTCTAAAGGTGGCTCAGTGGAGAGACTAGGTGAGGTGCTTCTCCTGAGAGAGCGTGCATTCAGCCATCAACAACCCGCCCACCTTTACGAAGATCCACTGCACACCACCAGGGCAGGCGCTGCTGGGGTTCCAAAGTGATTCACTATGAACTGTATTGCAAAGATGCTTGATAAGATGAAGATAAGATGTGCACATAAATAACTAAAATACAGGGTGTTTTATGTGCCAAGTGCCACGAGAGACATTCAGATAATTGTGTTACTTCCAATCAGGGTCAGAAAAGGCTTCACTGAAATAATCTGAAAATATATATATATATGTATAATGTGTATGTATAACTGAATCGCTTGACTGTACACTTTAAACTAACATTGTAAATAGACTACACATTGATAAAAAATAAGAATTAAAAAAAAGAAAGAAAGAAAGAAAAAGGCTTCACGGAACAGCCGTCCTTTGAGATTACTCCTGAACAGCTCTAAGGACAGTGACACTGATGAAAGGGTGGTGAGGAGGAAGAGGCATTTAAGATGGAGAAAAGGCCATGGGTAGAGAAGAGGAGGGAAGGGTGCTGAGGAACGGCTGGTAGACGAATGGGGTTGGGGGGCACTATGAAGGAGAGGGAGTGAAGGATAAACCAGAACAGGCTGAACGGACCAAGAAAGACCTGGCCATGGGGTCTGGCCTCCCCTCGGGCAGGGCAGGGGCAGCCCCTGAAGCCTCAGGATCACTCCTCTAGCAGAAGTCATGGCTGTAACGTGAGTGGAGAGGAAGGGGAAGGGGAAGACATGAGGGATTTTGCAGAGGCCAAGTGTCAACAGTCTAAAACCACAAATAAATGGGCTCAGCAGCAAAGGGGACAAAAAGGGAATCAAAGACTTAGTAAACTTTTCGCTGAGTTTAACAAGCATTTATTGAGCACCTGATAGGCACCAGGCACTTGTCCTGGTCAAGGGACAGAGCACCATGGGCCGCACGCCTTGTCCTCAGAGGCTGCAGTCACCAGCAGACATCAAGAAAAGTCTGGTCTGGCTGGTGAGCGCCCCTCTCTGGACAGTTCTCATTTGAGGCCATTCAGCACTACAAAGAACTGGGCGGCAGCCTGGGGGTGGGTGTGGGAGTACCAGGAACAGGATGTACAGATGCACACGGTTCAGCCACAGCAGTGTGCTTATGAGAAACTGAAGTTTGGGAAGCAAAATAAAGCATTTTCTAGCACAGTGAAGTACAGGACTGTGATCATCCTTACTCTGACACTCTGTGAAGAAGCACTCCCTTTCCCCTGCCCCATGCCAGGAAGAAAATTAAATAAATGATATACGCTTTCAATAAGTAAAGAGGAAACCCTGCTACTGACTGATCTAGGAGGGATATTGCTGTGGGAACTGAGCTGCACCGTTTCCATGGCTTCAGCCTCCACTAGTCCCTGAGAGTCCAACAATGAAAGCTGTACAAAAACTTGAGACTGTTTATATACATATATATTTTTTTTAATCTAACTCTGGGAAAACTTGCTGCCCCCAAGGTAGTCTCCAAATTCCCAAAGCTAGCTGAGTTACATATAACCCAGACCAGACACACACTGGATCAAGGATGACAGCCGCATTTCTTCTCCAACAAAAGTAATAACCTCCCTACAAACTACCTGCAACAGGCAGAAACATATTCCACCAAGATGGCCCTGAATCTTACTCCAGGTGCTCAACATCCACATTCCTGACAGAGCTCAGAGGCAGAGGAAACTACCAGCTCCCTGACACATACAACTGTATTGGTCTCTGCCCTTTGTTTTGCCGTTCACGTTAATTGAAAGGTGTTTACTACAGATGAAAAATAAGCTTTGTTCAGCTGCCTCTAAACCAACCCCAAAAATAGAGCAATCACTTTGGTACAAATTGGGTCAAATGTATTAAAAAACAAAACAAAAGAAAAAAACCCTGCTCTCTGGCAAGAGGACTGACATGGCATGGGACCTTGCTAAGAGTCAGGGGGAAATCCGCATATATCTTCCCTTCCCACAGTGGGAAAGGAAATATTTAAGGAGTTAGGCAGAGACAAAACTCATCTAACTATGGGACCATTTAAGTGAGCACAAGACACAAACTTGAATGCTATGAGTTTCAGGATACTGAGAGGTCAAAGGAATACATGTTGGTTTTTAGGAAGGCCTGCCAAACTAACACACCGCCCTCTCCCACCCAAAAAAGACCAGTGTTTAAGAACTGTCAAGAAAAGATCCACTGGGGAGGGATTGCCAGAGGGAGGAAAGGAGATTTATCCATTTCCTATATTTTATTCCCTCCCTTATTAGCTGAGAAATCCAAATGGTCTGACAGTACTTACATTAGTGCCCTGAATTTCCCTGGGAAAAAAGAATCAGAGTATTAATTGACTTACACATGCAGCTACATTAATTATTCCATTGATCTGAATTAATCTGCCTTTCTGAAAGGTATTTATTTTCTAAGTTTGTTTAATCATGTTCTCTTGAGCTACAAAAAGCAACAAACTGGGTCACCATCCACGTTGTTAAATTTGGTAACAAGCTGACACCATCTGTGGCCTAGCCCCATTGATGGGGGCTTTTCACTACTTCTGCTTTTCCTTTGAAATGACTATCTATAATGTCACATGTCTACAACCAAATCAGACGCTATTTAAAATACCCAAAATCACACAACTCATCTCTAGCACAGGATGAATATACACTAATAATGAGGCTGTATATGTGATCCAACTTCCGTTTACAGTTGTACTTTCAGTAGCAGTATCCAAAATGTTTTAAAATTCTCTAGACATCAGACTACAGAATGCCAAATATGAAGAGACATCATGCTGAAATATGCCACACATTTTAAGTGTAATATGATATCCTATACGTAAACTATGAAGTCTAAAATCACAGGAGCACAATGTCAACATCTTCAGAACCCAGCAGAGCTCTCCCCACACTAGTTTTTCCTTTACAACACTCAGTTAGGAACATCCAGCCAGACGAAAATACAGCCTTAACATGAAAAACCAAAAACAAATGGAACCAGCTAAAAGAGGGGAAAGCAAAACAAGAGAGAGGGTTTCCTGTTATCCAGGCCCAGCCCCTCATTTACCTCCTTTCTGCATGGCCTCATTAGGAAGGACTGAGCCCTACAAAGGCGATGCTACAGCCCCAGAAAAATCCTGAAACAGCTTCTGAATCATCAAGGAAAGATGACAGAATGTCAGAGGTAAAAACAACTCTCCTGACTGTCTCATCCAATCCCATCAATGGACAGGTGGGCAGTGTAGAAAGGGTATGCAAATAAATGCCCCAAGATTCAACCAGTTGACAGCCAAGTAGGACAACTCCTAGTCCCACTCTAGTGCTTTTTTTTTTTTTTTAACTATATCAACCTTTCCCAAAGGAAGTTCCATGAAACACTGTGATGCATTCTGCCAAAAAATGTTTAAAGAATCCATGACCAATTACTTTTAGGGACTAGCTGAGTTAAACAAAATGAAACTGGTTTTTTAACTACAGACCTTTCTGGAGCTTTTACTGAATTAATGTGTGCCATAAATCTTTAAGAGGGCAATAAAGTATTGGAAGTATCTCAATTTATTTCACCGTAGAATCATTTTATCTTGAGCATTTCATAGGCTAAGAGCAGGAACTTTAATACTATACTGTATTATTCTCTAAATTATGCTCTATGTGGATTAGTTTTGTTATATTCTACTTCTGTAAAAATTAACAGTTCATATATAATAACTACAATAACTCTCTACTTATCAGAAAAATTGACCAAAGTACCCACTGCTCCCAAATAACACTGGGTTAAATTTTTTTTAATTAAAAAAAAAGCTAACATTATGAGGGAAAGAATGGTAGACAAAAGAAAGCCTATATGGAGAGAAAAGTTATTTTTAAATCTGCTACAAATCTCTTCCATAAAAAGTTCCACATCTATTTATACAAGATTCATGTCTTAAAACACTTTCATTCAGTATAAATTTGAGAATGCAGGTTAAAAAACACACACACACACACACACACCAGTGTTTTAAAGCTCCGTGAAACATCACATGCGTAGCTGTAAACTTCAACCACCCAGAAAGCCAGCTGCCAGCTTCGGTACAAAGGCAAATGACAAACACACACCAGGATAAGCAGGAACTCTAAGGACACTTACCAAATTATGATTTGTTGAATTAGAATCATCTTCAGGGAATGGGATGTAAATAGCTAAGGCCACACAATTGGCAAAAATAGCCAATAATATAAATATGTCAAATGGTCTGAAAGTTTTTGTTAAGGTATATATGTGTTGTGTCAGCATACACCATCTCTCTCATCACACTTCCAATCACACCGCTTTTGAATTGCTTTTTAAATTAAAATTACACACACAAATCCTTATTCCACTGACTGCTGCAACTACTAAGTTTCCAGCAGGAGTAATCATCAGTGGTCAACTCACTGTGGATCTTCCTATCAAATGACCTCCCCATGTCCTTTTCTTCTGTTACAAGGCTCACATTACACTCATTCTTCTGTGGGACGTTTTATATGAAAACCTAAAAGTACATCCAATTAGGGCACTGTGCAAACCAAGTTTCTGCTTCCTGTCATTTTAAAAGCAACAAGGGCCTTAGAAAGCTAAATTCCTGGGTGTTGCAGACACAAAGAGAAGCCATCGTGAGACAAATCTCTTCCACAAATCCTTGCCACCATGTGTTAGAGCTGTTTTCTTGGAGGCTATTCTTGGCTGGGTCAGTCTGAATCTCCTGTCTGAATTGGCACACGCCAGTCAACAAAGACATTTTCCATTCCACCTGTGACTATCTCATGGCAGTTTCAATACTTCAGACACCGTAACAAGCAAACCAGGCTTCACCTCCCTCTCCTGCTTTTACTAAACAGTGGTTATCACTGTTTCAGATGAGAGCTGGACTGGAGCTGTATATAATGTACTGTTATTGTGTTCAACTTACAACCAAATTAAATAAAAAGTAATAAGAAATCAGCACCAGACGGCTTCAGAGTTCAATTTAACATCTCTAAATCTCGGGGGTCTGTCTGGAAGAATCACTCTGAGAGCAGCCTTCAACAGATACTTGCTTAAACATTCTGGTGTTATTCAGAGACATTGTCAAAACTGGCAATACAAAATTTGACATCTGCCAAAATGACTGTTTTTCTTCTCTCGGTTTTCAGTCTTTTCAAATGCAAGGTTTCATGAGCACCAATCTAATCGCCAACTCTGGGCTTGGTTGTACAGCACTGTTTCTCCCATACGCTTACCCACAAAAGACAAGGCCACCATTTAACCAGACACCTCCAAGTCCTAAAGCTTTGAGGGTATGAACAGACCCTTCCCAATTCATCCTGATTTCCTTCTGGGAAATCCAATGATGCCAAAGAAAACAAAGGTCCCTCACGTCTCTAGGAGTACCTTGAATTTCATGAAACCTCTGCCGCCTGAAGAAGTTGAACATTCACTGAAATATGGATGTGAAATACATCATTCCCTTATTCATCTGATGGGCTTATTTTTAAAGCCAGTTATCCTTCCCTCATATTTATTCTTTTAACTCATCTAGTATTACAAAATCTGTTACGTCGGGATCCAATTGTAAGACAGTCCACCTCAAAAACTTCAGAATCTTCTTTTCATTTTTCCTTCTGGCAGTTCCTACCAAAGTTTTAAAAGTCAACTGCCTTAATGTCATCCTACGTAGAAAAACACTGACTATCTCTTCTCTCCCCCACACCACCATTCTGCCTTTTTAATTTCTTAGTACCTAAATGAGAAACCAGCAAATCTGAGAAGTACTAATGCTGTTCAGGAAGGCCAAACATAAGAGTATTTTTTCCTTTATGGTGGTCCAGTTTCAGACTCCAGGTATTGCTAGATGCCATCTCACTGCCCCAAGATTCTCACAAGCCAAGCAGAACAGAGCAATAGAGAACTAGATGGGTTTGATCCTAAATATTTCTTCCTCGTTCCCCTAAGTGCAGGACACGATGCCGAGCCTGCACATAAATTTTAAAAGCGTGTAAAAAGTCACTCTCCTAGTGCTGATGGAGTCTGGCACAGCTGGTTCTAGGAGGCTGTCTGCATCCTGCTCCCTGAAATTGAAGGAAACTGTCATTTGAAAAAACAAATCATATATCGTTTCAGAATCTATTCCACAGACTGTCCCAATGGCTTCTCCCGGTACTGGCAGCCACAGCCCCTAGTTCCTGTACACATGTGCCTCGCAGTGCAGGAACAGGAATCCGCCACACGATCCAGGAATTCACTCCATTCACATAAATTACTATATACAAATTACTGTGCACCAAGAGACACAGCATCAGGCCTCCCACCTCACTCCACATGAAATTAATGACGCTACCGAGAGGTCTCTGCTTACTCAGAGTCACGTCAAGCCAACCTGAGGAGGAGGAGATCGCGCTGGCTAAGTACAATCACTGCCTCTGACTCCAGCCATGCCGCTGAGGGACACCCTGTTGACCTAGCTCCCTCCTGGGCCGACACCAGTGTTCTTCCTCAGGCTCAGAAAAGAACCTAAAGAGAAAACACATCCACATGACCCCAGGCATGTGAGAGACTCTGCAACTCCTTCTAGAGAGGAGACAACTGTTGAAAAAAGGAAATGCACATGAAAACCCCTCAAATCTGACCCTTGGCTACTCTCTCCAAAACCTTTCTAGACAGTTACCTCATTTTCATGCAAATCCTTGAGCACAGAAAACAGCCAGCTGAGACAGAGGGTGTGCAAAGAGCTGCCTAGCTAGGTACTCAAGTTATAAGGGGGTACAGCTCCCGTTTGCAGCCAGGGCTCCGACCGCCTCCCTTTGGAGCGTGGGCCCTCCTCACTGGACTCAGTGGGGAAGCCCTCTGTTCATACTCATTCCTATCATTGGGAATAGCTCTAAGGCCCTGGGTAGCCCCACAGTACTTCTGGGAAAAGGAAATGCTGTGTTTTACGCAAATCAGTGAATCATCTGCCTAATTAGAAAGCCATTTGCTCAGAAAGGCCTCAGTCAACCTCTTCTGAAGGGTGGCAGGCACTGGAGCCTGGCCTCTAGGTTTGGGGAAGAGGGTGAGCAGGCAAAGCATCCAGTTTTCCAAGATCTAGGAGCTAACAGCCCTCTTGAGGCATTTGGAGTTCAGTTTTAAAAATACAAAGGAGACACCCAGAAATGTAACTCCAGTCCAAGGACACAGACAGAATTTTTTTTATAAAAGCAGCAACTGCAAATTCCTCCACTGTGAGGGCTGTGCTCTAACTCAGCCAGGCTCAGGAAGAAGAGGCAGACACCAACCTCTCCCTTCACAGGCTCCCTCCTGCTCACGTTTCAAATGCTGTTTGGGAACTTGTCAAAAGGAAATTCCAGGAAGTCTTAGCACTGAGGAGCAAATCGCTCCCTCCCTGTGAAGCAAGCGTTCATATTTGTAGCTACCTGAACATCAGACTCACCAAATGTCAGACCTAGAAGCAGCTTTAGTATTAATTGGAGTTTCCGAAGTAAATTCCAAACAGTAGAATGAGAAGATGCCACTAAAGGTCAAAAACATACTTATTTCTAGTAGAGTCTTTTTTAATCTGCACACCTTACTTGCAATAGGTTCAGTGCATACCGCTGCTGAAAAACAATGGTGCGTTTAAAGGAACTATCTAGAGTCAGATGACCAAAGGGAAGTTTCATATTTTAATTATCTACCATTTTGAATTTTCAGGTTGTCACTCCCTCCCCCACCACTACAACACACACACACACACACACACACACACACACACAGTATTCTAAATATACCCACAGAGATACCCCTCTGCACCCCGAGGAGACAGGAAATTATATACCATGAAACCTTCTACATTCAGCCTCTCTGTTGCTCACATTCCAGACTGCTATCACTTTGTAAGTGCCATTTCAGAAAGCAAATCCTTTTAAAGAACAGATGGTAAAAGAGAAAATGAGAAAGACTTCCCCTAAAAAAGGATACTTCCATTCCACTATACTAATGCAGGCTCTTCGGATGGGGTTATTGAGTGACAAACAGAAAAGGGCACGGGCAGGTCGGCTGTTGGACGAGTTACCCTGTTTTTTGCTCTTGGCGTATTGCTGACGTTTTCTTTGGGAGAGAGATCCTACAGGTGGGGGTGCGGAGGTGCTCATAGTTTGGGCAGCCTTGGCCTGTCTAGCAGCATCGATTGCGGCTTGCCAAGACAGGACGGTTTGCTTGGAGCTATTCGGCTGAGAAGTTGGTCCTTCACCAGAAAGAGGGAGCCTGGTGCCTCTTGCATAGTTTGCCTCTGGGAAGAAGGAGAAAAAGAAAAATTAAAAAACAAAACAAAACAGTGAGACTCTAGCGTCAGAAGAAAGCAAAGGTGGTTTCGCATCAAGAACAGGGGGAATCATCCCCATGGTTCCATTTGGAACCTCATGTCCTACTTTTCAGAAGCAGGGTTTGGTCAGCCAGAGCAGCAAGAAAAGTCCCCGTGCTCTGCCCAAAGTGTCAGTAACACGGGACCGCTGCTGCATCACACCCAGTGGGTTAATACCTCTCTACATCCCTGTCTCCACAAGGAGCCTTTCAGTACATTTCTTCAGACAAACTGAGGTCATTCCCACATTTTATTCCACTTCTTTCTTGACTTTTAAAACCCATGTATCTCTGATGAGTTAACAGAGACATACAACAGCTTTTCTTCAAAATAACTACCATCACATACACACAAAAAAAGGCAGTGCCAATAACTCAATAGTCTTAATCATTTTCAGGGTGTTACTCCAACATCTTTCCACAGCCACAAATGCATTTTTTTTCAGCATGGAAAAAAATCCTCCACTGGCACCAGGGCAATACCAAAAGCCCCACAACAAATATCTAGATTATGCACTGACACTTCCTGCAAATGAAAATTCATGATGCTTGGGACTCATTTCCTCCACAGGCTTCCGAAAACAGAAAACATCTTTAGGGCTTTTTTGCATTTTAAATTGCAGCCGCAGCAGCCAAGCCAGCATCCAGAGAAACAGACAAGGCAGGCAGCCTGCACCCTTACACCTAGGATAGACAGGCTGGGTTATGCCAGAGGCCCTCAAGGCCTAAACAGCAATCACCTCAGTGTCGGATGGCATCCAAGTGCACAGAGGGTAGAACTCCACAGGGGCTTCATGTGCAAAGCCCCCTCCACCTTGGGGTCAGGCCAACACCCAGGCAAGTCTTCCAGGCACCTGCCTGCCTTGGGTCACAACCTCCTCACTGAGACAGAAGTCAAAGTGAGACTGGTGTCAGCGGTAGAGGAATGGGCATTTGCAAGACCAATTCTTGCTAAGTAAAGAGCAAGGGAGAGTCAAAGTAAGCACAGGTCTGCCTGACCAGCCGCCGGAGAAGGGGTACACAGGGAAGGGCAACAGAGGTCTGAGCCAGGGGAGGATTCGTGCCAAGCCTTCCCTTGGGGAGCGCTCCACGGGAAGGCTGCGAGCCCACGGGGGGTTGTAGGGGACTCAAGCGACCTCCAAGGAGGAGGGAGGAGGGCTGGCCAGGAGCTCCTCCAGCTTCCCTCGATCCAGCCGGGCCAGCGTGGTAACTGCACGTGGTGCCCGGCCGGCTGGGGAGGGGAGCCCCACAGCGGCAGCGACTCCCCGGGCATTGCTAGGTTACCGACGTGTGCACAGCAGCGCAGGGAGCGGGAATACGCTTTCCACCCGACTCCCTGGCCGGCGATTCTAAGACCCAGCCTCCCTCTCAAGGGGAGGGGGTTGCTTTACCCACCGGCGGGAAGGGTGAAAGGCCGGCAATCCTAGAATTTTCAGGATGCCACCTAAGACCTTCTTTCTAGTCAACCAAGGGGCGGGGAAGGAGGGGAAGGCGAGAAGAGGCTGGTAAGGGGGCTCAGGCTAAAGACTCACAGCCACCCCCTTTCCATCGCTCAGCGTTGGAGGAAAGTTGAGCCCGAGGACACTAAACCCGAATCACCTCGGCTCACCATCCCTCCGGCCGCACAGTACTCCACGGACTCCACAGCCGCCCCCACCCCACAAATGCAGAATTAACTCTGACATTCAAGGCCTGAAGGGGAGAACGAAGTGGCTGTCACGCATCTCCCCTATGTAGATGATACCGAGCTAGAAGCATCCTCTCCAACCCCCTCAACCCACCAGCATATCAGAGACGGGAGGGGGTGAGAAGGAAGAGGGGGTGGGAAGAGGAGGACCATGACAAGGATTAGATTTGGCAGCGGGTGCCCAGGCTCTGGCTGCTCACCGTTCGCGTGGTCCGCTTGCTGCTGCCGTTGATGCTGCATTTTTTTCATCATCATCATCATCATCATCCACGAACATTTATTGAGCGCCTACTGTGTGCAGGGCACTGTGCTGGGCGTTGGGGAGGGGGAGGAACGGGTAAGGGGGTGACCGATAGGTAGGAGCCGCGGTCCCTGCCCTTATTCAAGCTTCAGCAGGGGGTGGGGAGGGACAGGGACAGATAACAGAAAATAAGAATAATTTATAAAAACCGCTGGCCACCCACGCTCCCTCTTTTTCAAAATCGGAGCAAAATAAACTTTTTTTTAAAAAATAAGATCAGATGTATATATTATCTTGATAATATATACATGTAATTTTTTGCTGCAAAGAAGAATTG